GAATAGCTACTCATGTTGCTACCTTCTTTTCGCAGCTGATCGAAAGTACCAACTTCATGGTTGAACATTACGATCGTTGCCTGAATAGGACATACGAACGGTTGGAAAAGAACAAGGGGCTGCTCGCCAAGAGCTCTGCGTGGGTGAAGGAGGTTTTGAACGATGCGCAAAGGTCACTTGATACCAACGCTGCACTACAATCAGAAATTGCTTCGACCAAGGGGCTTTCTGAAGATGAGAAAGCTGCAAAAAAGGATCTGGAGGTTTTATTGAAAGCCGAGAAGAAGAGACTAAGGGAGTTCGTAGAGAGGATGCAGACGAGGATGGGAGAAAGCGGTTCGTAGAGAGGATGCAGACGAGGATGGAGACGAAGTTGGGGAAGCTGAAGCGTCATTGCGAGGAAACGTAGGTCGTTAATGAGAAGAGATCGCTCTTAGGTCAGGCAGTTTATCTGTTGGAAATCTACAAGGACCTGGAGAAGGAGGGGGTGGTCATTCCTCCGCAAAAGGTGAAGTTGGTCGAATCCGACATTAAGGCCCTCACTGGTGAGTTCGATGCTATGGAAGTCATCGAGATAATAGAGGCTGACTTTCAGGTGATTCTGGAAGCCAAGAGGATGCCCGTAGAACAGTGGGTTCCCGATTCCCCGATTTCTGAAGATAAATCTCACAGGTCCCCATCTCTGAGCCCGGTAAATGATTCGGCTTTGGACGGTGATGAGGGAAACGTGATCGTCAATGCTGATGTCAACCCAACTGCGGGCGATCCTCTTGTTTCTCTCTTCGGCTCCTCTAACGATGGTCCTCAGTAGTTTTTCTTCCGTTGCTTTCTTTTAAGACATTGCTAATGATCGAGCCATATGTGGCCTTAGTTCTATGTCTGTAATATTTGAACCTGAATTTGCCCTAGGCTCGTAGGGAGCCCTCAGCTTTTTATTCTAATCTACTGTTTTCAGACTTATTCTAGTTTCGTTTTTGTTTGAAAGCTTGAGTTCGTTTCAAAAACTTGATTCTATTTTGAACTATTTTCTGTTAGTTTCTTAGGTTTAGACACTAAGTTTTTCTCGGCTTACCAAAGTTATCTTTTATAGCTAGGTTTGCGAGATGGGCTCGGCTTATTTACACTTAGTTATGTATAAAGATTTTCTATGCGGGACTAGGCCCGGCTTTGGTGGAGAACGTGATGATCAAATACCTGGTCAGGGCATCGATGTTGGTTTGTAGTTCAGAGCTATGGTGTTCGGAAGACAAGAGTAAAGTAAACTGATAGCAGGAGACGAACTGAGAGATGTAAATAAATTTTTAAGAACGA